CGTCTCCCCTCCCTCCCTCCTCTTCCTCTCGACCACAGATCTGTTTCTCATTATCCTCTGTAGTCTGCTCTCTGTCTGAGTCAGGAGACGAAAAACTTAAATAAACACACTCTCTGTCCCCCCCACCATCCACCCTCAGCTCACTCCTCACCCTGTCCCCTCCTCCAGTTCTCACAATCATTAGGAGTTTGTTGGTTATGCTGGTGTGTAACTGGGGGCTTGTTTCACTCTYTCTGACATCCTCATGGGGTTCTGTGGGAAGGCCTTGGATCCTGATCCCAAGATGCTGCAGTTGTGGTTAGGGAGAGGATGAACTGCTACCAGCAAGTCGAGACCCTCCGAGGCCCTGAGCTGGATCTGATAAAACCCCCTTTCATACTTGTAATGTCACCGGATCCCAAAATGGCTGATCTGGACTACAGGATCAGGAAAATTAGTTAAAATCTGAAAAGTGGTTTCTGTGGGGGTCTTCTTTAGTTTGACTGGAAATTAGTTTCCAAAACATCAACATTTCATTGATCTTAGGGGAAATTTACAGTTTGCACAAAGTAAACAAAGCAGAGGAATGCAATGTGAAGCTCAGGAAGCAGAAAATGGAGCAAAGCTACAAGCTGAAAGTAGCAAAAAGCTATGAAAATGGTTAACTAAAACTTAAAGTGACAAAAAATACCCAAAAGTAGCAAAATGCAAATACAAGTTAAAAGTAACAAAGGGTTAGCTAATAAAACTAAACAGCTAGCTAGAAGCTAAAAGCCTAAAAGGTAAATAAATCTAATTAATGTCAATGTTCTACCTAAAAGTAGCAAAAGGCTAGCTGCTAACTAAAGGTAGCATGCAAATTAAAATTAAGCWAAAAGAAGCAAGAGTCTAGCTAAAAGCTAAAGTAGCAAAAGATTAGCCTATTAAATCAAAAAGCTAACTCAAAGCTAAAAGTAAAAACATCTGACAACCAGGAGTTAGATAGTATTCTAGCTAAAAGTAGGGAAAGGATAGCTAAAAGCTATTTAAAGGCAACATGCTAGCTAATCTCTGAACGTAGCAAGAGTCTAACTAAACATTATCTAAACATTAACAAAAGTTAGAATTCCAACTAAAATTTAAAAGTAGCAAAAGGCTAATGGCCAACCAACATAAAAAAGCAAACACAAATGGTGCAGCTAAAAGTAGCAGAAAGCTAGCTATAAGCTAAAGTAGCAAAGCTAATTAAAAAATTGAAAAGCTAGCTAGACACTAAAAGTGTAAAAACATTAGATAAAACCCAACTAAAAGCTAATTAAGCAATTAAAAGCAAATAATAGCTAAAAGTACATAAAGCTACATGGTAGTTAGAAACTAAAAGTGGAAAAGATTAGAAGTGAAATAAAATTTGCAAAAACAGATAAAAGTTATAAGAAGCAAATGTGTGGATAGTATCAAAAAGTCAGCTAGAAGCTAAAATGAATCGAATGGATAGCCAAAAGCTAAATGTATAAGAAAACAATAAAATATTTGAGTCTATAGTTGTTTTAAAATAGCAGCGATGTATCCTAACATGTCTTCATTCCAATTTGACAATTTCACAAACTCCAAATACTCTCAGAAATATAAACATTTTATAATTTGTAAAACAATAAAACTAAACASCTAATAAATGATGTAATGTAATGATAGATGAAACATGCCGAAAAACCAGCTGAGTGTTTTTGGTTTATGGGAGAAAAGACAGAGGCTGATTCTTGTAGAAGTGTTGCCCTCATGTGGTGAAAYCAGAAAGGTTTTACTGTAACTCCACAAAAAACAATCAGCAGAAATTCTTCATAACTGAACAAAACCACATTTCCAAACTACTGGTAAAAATCTGTAAAAACTGATTGATTTAAAAACATTTTTAGTTTTAAAGTCTGTCCAGTGGACCRTGACATGTTTTGCTAACAGACAGAAATGGACAAAAACATCATTACCTGCCCTTTTTACCTTTTAGCAGCAGCTGATAAATAAGTGTTTAAAAACACCAGCACCTATAATACAACTGGACCAAACAGTTTGAGAGAAGATTTGGGTGTTTGACGAATAAAACCACAAGAAGTTGATAACTTCCTATTTTTTCACCTCTACAGCTAAGTAACTTACCCCAAAATTAACTTTTTTCAGCTGATAAACTATCTAGAATGTGTCTAAAATGTTATATAGTACTGTTTCTGTGCTAATTTTGATGTTTTTGTGCATATTTGTTCAAATATGTAATATTT